TCTTTCCCCCCCATTATTCTAGAATGAGCATAACATGCCTATGTTGATAATCAGGAACATAGCAAAAACTATTTAAAAAACAGACAACTTTGGGGAAACGCTTTATCAAGCTTTCTCAGGGTACCTTGAGTTTGCTAGTTTTTTCTGTTCCCATGGATTCAATACATTTGTGATTGTCAATCCATATGTCTTGATTTGGAGTTAGGAAGATAACAGTTATGTTGGCCAACAGATGCACTCAATAGGTGAGGGTAAAGGAATTTCCTGGTGGTCCAGTGGCTAAGATTCCATACTTCCAATGCAGGGGGTTTGGGTTTAATTCCTGGTCAAGGAACTAGAGCCCACATGCCATAACCAAGAATTTGCATGCCACACCGAAGATCACAGATTCTGAGTGCTGCAACTAAGACCAGGTGCAGCCAAATAAATAAACAAATAAATTTTAAAAAAAACAGGTGAGTGTGAGAGCAGAGAATAGGACTTTTTTGTTTGTTTTCCTTTGGTCACACACATTCATGATCTTAGTTCCCCAACCAGGGATTGAACCCATGACCTCAGCAATGAGGGTGGCGGCCTTAACCACTGGACCACCAGGGAACTCCTGACAACAGGAGTTTGATGGGAGAATGTATTCACCTGAGTCATCTGATACAGCTGGCTCCCAGGAGTTCTCCTCCTGGGTAATCCTGGCAAGTTTCCCACCTTGGAGTCGTCTCATAGGGACAAAGTTCCAGTGGTACAGGTTTGGGAGAGCTGACTGTGCTTATGGCTCAGTAACTTCACAGGGATAACCTGTAATTGGCTGTTGTGGAAATATTTACACTATGGAAACTGACAGACACTATACTCTCTTCTCACTGCCAGGAGCCATTCCACATTCACCAGCACGTGACTGGGCTCCTTTCACCCCTTAGGATGAGTGAGTCTTCCATCTCTTGTCAGTCCCTGGTTAACCCTTTCTCAGGGGACTGGTAGGATATTGTCATCCGCCTTTTAGTACTTCTTGAAGCAAGGGGTTCAGAGCCAGACCCCAGGGTCAGGCTGCTACTCAAGCTGTTCCTGACTGGCCCATCCTTTCTGAGCCCCCAAGAGGTTAAACAGAAAAGCAGGTTGTTGCTAAGAAACCTTTCAGCGTTGCCTCTAGGGAGGGGACTTGGCAAGAGGAGTAGTGGGGCAGAAATAATAGTTGGCGGGATGGCTTCAAAGGCCCAGGATGCTTCAAAGACTGTTGGCTCTGGAGTCAGGCAGACGCTCCAGCACAGTCCTTCCACCAAGACTGATCAAGATGACACTGCCTCAGATATGTGTTCAAATCCAGATTCCCCCTTTAACTTGAGATGTAAATTGGTTGCTCTGACCCATCTATCAATTGGAAATTTTAATGCCAACCTCTTAGGGTTGTGCTAAAGATTCAATGAATGTACACAAAGCACCTTAGCATAGAGAGAGTTTTTTCAGTTCTTAGGAGGTGAAAATGAAAGAAAATAAAAGTAGCCATGCATAGCAGCCTGAGCTGAGAGGTGTTTGAGCCTCATGTTTAATATCCAATTGTGGGATTTAAAAGTCCTGACAGGTTCTGACAGGGTGCATCTCAAATAGAAACCCTAAACCTTAAAGACTGAATCCTTCACTTTATTTTCGTGACGGTCTCATGATGTAAACATTTGACCATGGAGCTTCCCAGGTGGTTCAGGGGCAAAGAATTTGCCTGCATTGCAGGAGATGCAGGTTTGATCCCTGGGTCAGGAATATCCCCAGAAGAAGAAATAGCAACCCACTCCAGTATTCTTGCCTAGAGAATCACACGGACAGAGGAGCCTGGGGGGGCTACAGTTCATAGGGTCACAAAGAGTCAGACACAACTGAGCACATAGGCAAATGCAATAAACATTGACTATAAGGTACAGATAGTGAAACTAGGGCTTTGAAAGACTCCTATCTTGCTAGAGACCCCATAGTGAACCCCCAACTCACCCCCAACATCATTGTTCTGGTAGGGCATTTTCTACTGTCCAGAGTGGCCTGGAACACAACCGGATGTTAGGGCAGGGTGTTTCCTAACAGGTCCTCTCTCAGAGTCAGTCACAGCCTTGCTCAAACCAGAGAGAGTGGGTGTTAATTGCACCAGCTCTGTCCCAGCTCTGAGTGGTCTAGAGGCTTCCTTTGAGCCTTTCTTAGGGGAATGCCCATGTCTGTTGGCCTGGTGACACCCAAAACATCCAGAGTGTAAAGAAACAATTATCGCCTGCCATTCCAGTTCTACAAGGATCAAGCCATTAGCTACTACAGTGGCCCATGACAGTGCACCCTCCAGGAAATTCAGGATGGGAAAAAAAGCAGGAAACATTCTGTGCTTTGGATATACAGCCCCTTAAATAGTTAAAATGCATATCTAGGGACTTCCCTTGTGGTCCAGTGGTTAAGAATCTGCCTTGCAATGCAGGGGATGTGGGTTCGATCCCTGATCAGGGAACTAAGATCCACATGCTGTGGAATAACTAAGCCCTCGAGCCTGCCACAACTAGAGAGAGAGTCTGTGCACCCTAAGGAAAGATTCCGCATGATACAACTAAGACCCGAAGCAGCCAAAAAAAATGTTTTAAAGATGCATATCTAAGGAAAATTTTCAAATAACCTCAAATTCTTGCATCTTTTCATACACCGAAAAACATTAAAATCGTTAATTTGATCTGTCTGTTTTTCATCATTGGCAGTAATCTTTTGAAGCCTGACTACTTGTTTTTCCCAGCAAGAAAGTTTATATATAACCTGGCTCATCCCTTACCTCTTCAAGTGGTTTCTCAGTGCTATTTGAGAGACTGTCTCTATGGTTGTGATCCTTGGTAAGGTTTTGGCATACAACTTAACTCACAACTTGCACATTGTGCATTTTTCTTTCAAGTCGACAAGACTGTATAAGTGACAAGGTTGGAACTTGCTTTGGCAGGAATTGGAGTCAGATAGACATGGGTTCCAGTCCTGGCTTTACTGCCAACCAGCTTCAGGCCCTCGAGCTTAACCTCCTAGCTGTACTTTCTCACTCGAAAATGGGATTGAATGATTTTTAGGTCCAAGGGTTGGAGGGAGGGACCAGTGAGATTAAGTTTCTAAAACTACTTTAGAAAAAAGCCCCAGCTATGCAAATGTGAGGTGCTATAATCACTGTTGTAAAACATTGTGTAGGAGGTTGATTCTTCTAGGAGTGGTGAACTGGGTGTAAGAGCAGTGTGTTTGATTCAGCAAATATACCAAGAGGGCTTGCTCTGAGCAAGTTCCCTGTGAAGCACCACTAGGGTCACAGAAAATTCCAGACCCTCAGCTGAAAAACTTGCCCCGTATTGATTTTACTCGTATTTAACTTCAGGCGAAGCTGTGAGATGTCTGTCAGAAAAGTCTGAGGAGATGTAATATCAAAACCAATGAACTCTCATTTGTTTATTTTACAAATATACTTTGGGTGGTACCTGAGGTACCAGGCGCTAGGAATTACAGGACCTGTGCATCCAGGATAGACTTTACTTTCCATCACCAAGTAAAAGAAGAAAAACAAAGACAAAAGGAGGAGAGGAACGAGGAAAACTTTCAGGAGATGGTTGAAGACATAAAATCATTACAAAAGCAGGGGTGGGGGGTTGGGGGTGGGAAGGGACTGTGCAACTTTATGTCTCAGGTCATGGGCAAAACACATTTTTATTGGTTTCAACAGGATTTCCTGATGGAAGAAGTATTTCAATAAGGGGTCTTCCGGCAACAGAATGAATTATTTTCTTATAGCATTGTTTTCTGTTTTTTCCCCAACATTTTACAATGAGGTGATGGGGAAATTTTCAAAGACAGAAAAGTTAAAAGAATGGGAATTCTCATATATTCACCTCCTAGAGTCCACAGTTAATATTTCACTATGTTAGCAGCAGTTTTTTGTTTGTTTGTTTTGTTTTGTTTAGAGTAAGTTTCTGGTAGGGCTGTTTCAAGGATCATCTCTTCCTCAGGATGTCATAACCGCATTTTCCCTAGGACAGAGGATGGGTTGGGGGGTGTGGCAGGAAGAGGGGGATTTTAGCTTGGGAATGCAGTTCTCTGGGAACCGGACTGGATGGGGGATGGGGGAACTAGAAAAAACAAAAAAGCTCCCAGCACCCAGTTCCGCCGCCCTCGCGCATACTGTGTGGTCTCTGCCAGTTAGCCGGAGGACCAGAGTCTCGTGGCAGCTCTTGGCTGGAAGGTCTAAAGGATCATCTTTCTCCTGCTCCAGACCTGCCTTGCTTCTGCAAAGGGTAGAGAAAGGCAGCGATGGCGGCTCAGGAGTCCGCCCGGGGGCACAGGAAAACAGTTGGGGATCCCTAGAACAGCTAAACCGAGGGGACCGTGAATTCTGCAGCTTGGCAACGGCCCCTCCGAGTCGAGACGGTCCTTCGAGTGCCGCAGCCCGGGCGCCCGGGAGGGAGCAGCCGGCGGGTCGAGGGGGGATGCCGTCCTGCGGCAGCTGCAGGGCTCTGCGCCGCCCACTTTCCCCGCGACTCGGGGCCGCTGTCCCGGGCGAGTGGGCTCGGGGAGTGACCAGCCTCGGCGCTCCGCCCCCGGCCTGCCCAGACCCGACTCGGCGCGCCCGGGCGCGCGCCCTTTGCATAAAGCCCTCCTCCTTGGCCAAGGTAGAGGAAGTTGGGCTCCCGCCTGGATGGGAGGCGGGAGGGAACTCAGCTCCGGTTGTTTTCCGTCTGCGGGAGCGGGTGGCGGGCGCAGGGGGCGGGGTGCGCCCTCCCACCCCGGGCCGGGCGCTCGGGAGAGACAGTCGCGCTTGGAGCCTAGTGCAGCTCCTAGCCCCTGACATCGGGCTCACCCCAAGCATCCTTCCTGGGGGCTGCGGAAAGTGGAGCTACTCTGTCGTTCCGAGGACCTGGGAGGAGTACTGGGTACCCCTGGGGCTGAGCCCTTGGGGGCGCACACTCAGCCAAGCCGGACCTTGCGTTTTCCGAAGGGCCCCTGCCCGCATCTGGGGCGAGATGGCCGCAGGCGTCCGGGCGTCTGAGTCCTGGGTTCTCGTCTGCTTCGGAGCGCTACTGGCCCGCTGGGTCGCCACAGGTAAGGGGCGACGATCTGGAGGCAAAAGTTGATGCGAGGCAAAGGTGGGAAGGGGAGAGCCGGGGACCGAATTCCCTCCGACTCCCTGGATCCAGTCGTGGCCGAGGCCTCGAAGTCGCCCTGGGAGGGTCTTGGCTTTCCTGCTGGCAGCTCAGCTTTTTGCAGGAAGGAATTTTACCGACCGCTTGATAAAGGGCAAGACATCCCTACCCTCTTAGAGTGGGCAGCAGGCGAGGCTGCAAAGGGCCTGCGGAGGTGAAAATTGGGGAAACTGAAGATGGAAAAGTTGAAGAGGTGTGGAATGTTTATTTTTATTATCTTTTTTTAAACGGCGTATGTAAATTCGCGGTCTGGTTTTACATGCTGCGCTGGTTCTCAAACTCGAGGCTGCTTCAGTTTCCTCTTCTCCCTCTCCCCGAGGTTGAACTCGCCTTGCACCTGTAACCTGTGGTTTCCCAGCACACCCCCGCAAGCCGACCTGTGTGGACTATGGCAAAATTCTGCTTTTCTCCTTTACTTAAAAGAAACGAAAAACTTTTATTTTGAAATAATTTCAAACTTACAAGAAACTTCCCCTACACTTGACATTGCCTCTTACTCTTGATATGATTGGCGAAGTCTTACCTGCTCCATCTGTGATCTGCTTTGGAGCAATAAAGAACAGAGGGTTGCTTACAAAAACATTTTGTTGTTGCTGTTGTCTTGTCGCTAAATCCTGTCTGACTCTTCTGCGACCCCATAGACTGTAACTTGCCATGCTCTTCTGTCCTTGGGGTTTCCCAGGCAAGAATACTGGAATGGGTTGCCAGTTCCTTCTCCAGGGGATCTCCCTGACGCAGGGATCAAACCCATGCCTCCTGCATTGGCTAGCAGGTTCTTTACTACTGAGCCACCAGGGAAGCCCTTTCAAAAACATACATAATTTTAAAAAGGTTGAAAACAATGTTTCTGAACTTAATTCACCAGCGAATGCATGTCTTTTGCATGCAGGGTAGTGTGACAAGCAGTGAGAGGACCTGAGATGAGGGAAAGGAGATGGAGTTTGCCAGAATACTTACAGAGTCCTATTTTCAGGGGTCACCCAGTCCAGTGTGGTCTGCTGATCTCTTGTAGGTGCCTAGAGGCATTGCCCCCTGTGAGCTTCCTAGCTGCTGCTGCTGCTGCTAAGTCATTTCAGTCGTGTCCGACTCTGTGCGACCCATAGACGGCAGCCCACCAGGCTCCCCCATCTCTGGGATTCTCCAGGCAAGAACACTGGAGTGGGTCGCCATTTCCTTCCTTCTTCAAAGCATGAAAGTGAAAAGTGAAAGTGAAGTCGCTCAGTTGTGTCCGACTCTTGGCGACCCCATGGACCGCAGCCCACCAGGCTCCTCCATCCATGGGATTTTCCAGGCAAGAGCACTGGAGTGGGGTGCCATTGCCTAGCAGCACGTGCCAGAAGTTCCTAATTGTGAGGCTGTCACAAGTTTTTATTTTGCTTTGTTTTTAGCAATTATTTAAAAACAATAAAATTCCTCATAAGCTAGATTTCTAGTTTAGGTGGGAAAGTCTGAGGCTCTTGCCACACAGGACCTGCTTTCCCAAGTGGAACTGAGTTGTGGTCACCCATTTTCTTCTAGGATAGGTGATTTCAAATTTGTAGACATGACAAGGCTGGCACCTCCAGGCATATGTAGGGGTGGTCACTGGGCTTCGGGGAGAAGTGGATATACCATCTCCAGTTGGCTGACCCTCAAAGTTAAAGGTGACTGTGTATTCCCTACTCCCCAGCTGTCTGCAGTGTTTACTGTACTGTGAATATCAAGGGCCTGGGGACATCAGAACCCTGGGTTGAAATCATCATTGTGGGATGAACTGGCTGCAGCTCTCCACACAAGGATGTTTCCTGCACTACCGTGCCCAGTTATTCTGATGCCCAGATCAAGTTCATCTTTGTGTACAGTACCAGAAGCCTTCCCTTGCTTAATGTATTTTTGTTCTTCAAGCTGGGAGTTGGGGAGAAAACCATCTTTCTCCTATCACTTAACTCCAGACAGTGTTCAAGACCCCAGTCACCTCAGGTTGTGAATCAGGTGTCATTCTTGAGGAAAGAATAGGGAAAAAAAATAACTTTGATATAGTCTCAATTCTGTAAATGTTAATATGATGGCTGCTTTGGAAAAGAGTTGTTTATATCGTTCCTTCCTTTGGTCCATATTTTTCTTTTTTTAATTGGATGTAACTGTTAGTTTCTACAGTACAACATTGTGAATCAGCTGTATATTTGTACATCTATCCCTTCCTCTTGAGCCTCCCTACCACCCCTCCCATCCCACCCCTCCAGTCCATATTCTGAATTTAAGGTTGGGGGACTTCAGGGGCCCTCTGAACACCTTATGGACCAGTTTCAGTAACACAGAATGTCTCACTCTTCTGGTTGGGAGACCGAGTAAATTCCTGTGACCTGGCACATCGAAGACCTGAATGACAGTCCCAGCTCTCCCAGTGGCTTTTGTGGGAGCTTAAGTAAATCACTTAAGCTTTCTGGACTTAAGTTTTCTCAGCTGTAACATGAGGAGGTTTAGGATGATCAAGCATGGAACCAGTGCACCCTCAAGGACCACCCATTCCTTCTCCCTAACAGACATCACTAGTTGATGACTGTGTTCTTCCCTACCAAGCCCTGACTCAGCCTGTCCTGAACTCAGCCCTCAGGACTGAGGGATCTCTAAGGTCATCTTCAGCATCAGTGTTTAAAAAGAATGGAGTGAGCAAAGTCAGGAGAAGTGAAATGCCTTAAAGTGGTGTAGTTTGTCGTTATGTCATTCTATTCCTTGGGGGAAAAGACAGTGTTAGCTCAAGTTCCAAGACTAAAGTTTCACTGGGGCTTTTCCAAGGCTTTTTTTAATTCCTTTGCCAAGGAGCCTGGGAAGGGCAGGTCTTCAGTCTCACGAACACATTGTTGCATCTATAATTCTCCAGTTTTTTTCTCCTCAATGGAGATTGCCACTGAGAACTTAGGTTCCCAGGCCTCACTATTTAAAAATAATTCTCACTTGTTTTTTTAAAGTGATTGTTTAGAAGCGTTTCTTGCTGTTTTGGAATCTCCAGCATTAGGTCACATTCTCCGCCTTCCAACAAGTGGTTAGATTTTTTTTTTTTTTTCCATTTTACCTTGGCGTCGGGGAATGGTGTAGCCACAATGGGAGAGTGTGAGAACATCCTGGAGCTTCAGCTGTCTTGTGATTTTTCAGAGGTAGCTCCTTCCAACCAGATAAAAGGCCAAATACAGATAATGGTTACTCTTTGTTTTATAAAAGGGAATGAGTTCCGAAGGCAGGTAACAATTTTTTTACAACAACCTAATTGAGATATAATTTACTTGCATACTATATACTTTACCCTTTTAAACTGTACAATTCAGTGGTGTTTAGTATATTCACAAGATTGTGCAACCATCACCATTAATTCCAGAACATTTTCATCACAACAAAAAGATGCCCTCTACTTAAGTATTAAGAGTCTCTCCTGGGCTTAGTGGTAAAGAGTCCGCCTGCCAGTGCAGGAGACGCAGGTTTGATTCATGATCTGAGAAGATCCTACATACCACGGAGCAACTAAGCCTGTGTACCGCAACTATTGAGCCTGTGCAGTAGAGCCCAAGAACCACAACTACTGAAGCTCATGCACCTAGAGCCCGTGCTCTGCAACGAGAGAAGCCACCACAATGAGAAGACCAAGCAACACAACTAGAGAGTAGCCTCTGCTCACCACAGCTAGAGAAGGCCCAAGTGCAGCAATGAAGACCCGGCCAAAAATAAATAAATAAAATTTTTAAAAAGTCACTCCCCACTACGTGCCCCTGCCCCCAGATAAGCCACTTCCCCAGCCCTAGACAACAGCTAATCCACTTTCTATCTCCATAGATTTACCTATTTGGACTTCTCTGTAGGTTTACTTATTTGGACATCTCATACAATTGGGATCACAAAATACGTTGTCTTTTATGACTGCCTTCTTTGACTTAACACAGTGTTTTCAAGATTCATCCATGCTATAGCTTTTGGCCTTTTTTATGACCAAATAATATTCCCGTTATATGGATATACCACATTTTATTCATTCATCAGTTGATGGGCATTCAGGCTGTTACCACCTTTTGGCTACTATGAATAATGTGAGCATGCATGTACAAGTTTTTGTGTGGATAAATTTTCATTTCTCTTGGTTATACACCTTGGGGTAAGAATTGCTAGGGTAGAGTCATATGGTAGCTTTACCTTGCGAGGTAATATCAAACTGTTTTCCAATGTAGCAGCACCATTTAAAAATCCTACTAACAATGTATAAGGGTTCCAATTCTCTACATCTTTGCCGACACTTGTTATTGTCTTTCATTTTAGCCATCCTAGCAAGTGTGAAGTGTTAGGTATCTTATTGTAGTTTTGATTTGCATTTTCCCTAGTGACTAATGTTGAGCTTTTCATTTGCTTATTGGCTTTTGTCTATCTTTTGGAGAAATGTCAATTTAAATCCTTTGCTCATTTTTAAATTGTCTTCTTATTGTTGAGTTTTGAGAGTTTATATATATATATTCCACATACAAATCTCTTCTCAGATGTGATTTGCAAATATTTTCTCTCAGCTTGTGGGTCTTCTTTTCACTTTTTTTTTTTTGTATCCAAAATGTGTTTATTGGGATGGTTTCCCATTCATCTTTTCAGCATGCTTTTTAAAAAATATTTATTTATTTATTTATTTATTGGCTGTGCTGGTGTGGGCTTTCTCTAGTTGCAGTGCACAGGCTTATTGCAGTGTCTTCTCTTGTTGCGAAAAATGGGCTCTCGGGTGCCTGCAGGCTTAATCCAAAGTCACAAAGATAGATTCTTTTGGGGTTTTTTTCCTAAGTAATTTATAGTTTTCTAAGTATTTAATAGACCATATAGATCTGTGGTCTATTTTGAGTTGCTTTTCTTTTGGCCTCTCTGCCTGGCTTGCAGAATCTTAGTTTCCCAACCAGGGATTGAACCCAGTCCATAGCAGTAAAAGTGCTGTGTCTTAACCACTGGACTGCCAGGAAACTCCTGATTTTGAGTTGATTTTTATATGTGATGTGAGGTAAGGGGTCCAACTTCATTCTTTCATGTATGGACAGCCAATTTTCCCAATACCACTGTTGAGGGCAGTTTATTTTGTAATGAAATATCACCTTTCACAAAACCCCAGAATATTCACATACTTTGAAAACTTCCAATGTGGTGGAAAAAGCACTGAATGGAGCAAGAAATCTAGACTCTGGTCACATACTGCTACCTTCTCATGGTAGGACTTCAGGCCAGCCCACTTCCCTTCTTTGCATCACAGTTTTCTCATCTATTTAATGTGACAGCATGAGTAAGACTGGTTCTGCCCATTATTTCTGTGCCTGTGACCTCTTTGTATATGGGTGCTGATTGTGGAGGGGGCTGAAAAATTAGGACTTTTCTCAGCAAAATGGGCTGCTTTTGCTTCTTGTTACCTGGTGGCAGTCTTAATGCCAAATCAGTTGCCTGAGCATTAGTCAGTCTTGAATGAGCATCAGGGTTACCTGGAAGGCTTGTGAAAATGCAGAGTGCTACCTCCCACCTCACTCCTGGGTTCTGATTTAGATGTTCTGGGTGGGACTTGATAATATGAATTTCTGACAGTGCTGCTGCTGATCTGCAATTTTCATTCTGCCTGGGAACACCAGCTTCATCTCTGCCTAGCTAGTTCTTTTCTGACCATCAGATCTCAGTGTGGCTTCCTAGAGGAAGGCTTCCCTGTCAAAAACCACAGCTAGACTTAAGAGCCCCTTCTCCAAGCTCCTATCATGCTATTTATCACACTGCATCCTAATTGCCAGTTTATTGTCTGGTTTTTTGTTTTTTTTTTTTTTGCCATGCTGCATGACATATGAGATCCTAGTTACCTGACTAGGGATTGGACCCATTCCCCCTGCAGTGGAAGCGTGGAGTTGTAACCACTGGATTGCCAGGGAAGTCCCTATTGCCTGTTTTCTCCACTAGACTGTGAAATCCTGTGGGTCTCTATTTTGCCTGTCATTGGCTCCCCAGTACCTAGCTCAGAGCATGCCCCAAAGTCCCCACTCTGAGCCCACTCCTGCATGGAGCTGCTGAGTGATGTTGCATTGTACCTGAGATGGAGAGAGTCAGAGAGAGCACAGGAAAGAGGAAACAAAGCCAGAGCCCTCTTCCTTCCACCTTTCTGGACTTCTAGGCAAGTAAAGCCACTCGGGTTCTGTATCAGTTATTTATTGCCACAATAATCTGTGTGACAGAGCATCACAAAATGACCATAAGTGCTTGTTTCTAAAGGACCTGGGGGTACTGGGCAGTTGGCCCTGCTGATCTTGCCTGGGCTCACTCATGTGTCTGGGCATCAAGTGAGTGGCCAAAGGCTGATCTAGAATGGCCATAGCTGAGAGGATTGAGACAACTGGGGTCTGCACCATGTAGTTTTCATCCTCCCCTGATACCTAGCCCAGACACATCCTTCTCAAGGTGGTAGCAGAAGGTGAGAGTGAGCAAGCCCAATCACACCAGTGCTTTTTAAACCTCTGCTTGCAACACATTTGTTAACACCCCAATGATCAGAGCAAGTCACATGGTGCGACCAGAGTCAGGAGTGGGAGGGTGCTGTGGAGTGACATTGTGAAGGGCATAGACAGTGGAGGAGGGGCTGATTAGGACTGTTTGCAGTTGTGATCCACCACAAGTTCATTACTGTCAATTACTGGCCAATAATCCCAACAGGTTGGGGCTCTGTGTATTACTGCATCTCAAAAATACATGCCTGTTGTGTTTTTTTTAAATCTTAATGCAGGGAGACTGCAAGAAAAGGAGATTGTCTAGGATCAAGAAAGATAGTAACAGCCTGACCTTTCCTTGCACAGGATTGGAGGCTGTCATCATTGGAGAAATTCACGAGAACATCACCCTGCACTGTGGCAACATCTCGGGACCGAGGGGCCTCGTGACCTGGTGCCGCAATGACTCGGAGTCAGTCTTCCTCTTGTCCTCCAATTCCAGCCTCCCACCAGCCCAGTCGCGCTTCTCTCTGGTGAATGCCAGCTCCCTGCACATCGAGGCGCTGAACCTGCAGGATGAGGGGAACTACACCTGCTCTGAGGTCCTGAACAAGACTGAGACCCGGAAGTTCCAAGTGTGGCTGCAGGTGGCCAGTAAGTGGTGGGTGGGGATTGCAACTGCTGGGGAGGTGCTTAGAGCCTTGGACCTGAGGAGGCCTTTGGAGTCAGTAGCCTGGGTTTTATTCTGGGCTCTCCCATATGTAAGCTGAGTGATCTCTCACATCTGTCATTTCCTCATCTGTATGATGGGGATAATAGGAATTCTTGCCTCATAGAATTGCTGTGAGGAATAAATGCCAGTATATCTACATATATACTCCAATACTTCGGCCACCTGATGCAAAGAACTGACTCATTTGAAAAGACCCTGATGCTGGGAAAGATTGAAGGAGGGAGGAGAAGGGGATGACAGAGGATGAGATGGTTGGATGGCATCACCAACACAATGGACATGAGTTTGAGTAAACTCTAGGAGTTGGTGATGGACTGGGAGGCCTGGCATGCTGCAGTCCATGGGGTCGCAAAGAGTCAGTCACAACTGAGCGACTGAACTGAACTGAACTGATATCTATGTAAATTGCTGTAAATGGCTCCTGGCATATTATTTACTAATAGTTAGCTATTACTTTTAGCTTATTAATATCATCCTTGCTATTAATCTCATTTTATTATGCAACAAAGTATAACATAATCAAGTCAGACTGCCTGAGTTCCAACCCTAAGGACAGGTCATCTTGAGTAAGTAACTTAATATCTCCGAGATTCAGTTTTTCTTACTTGTTAACTGGGGACAATGCCTTGCATGCCTTATCAGGTATATGCTCTTATGCTCTAGTGCTAAGTACAGGGCTTAGTATGAACTGCTGTTACTACTGTCCTTCCTAAATCAGTCTATCATGTCTGTCAATATATATGCATGAAGTTAGACCAATAGTTGGCAAATTATAACCTGTGGGCCATTTCTAGACTGTTGTATATTTTTGTATGACCTGCAAGCAGCAAATATATTTTTACATTTTTAATGGTTGAAAAAAATCAAAAGAAGAATGATACTTGTGACATGTGAAAATTATATGAAATTCAACTTATGGTTCAAATAAGGTCTTATTTGAACATAGCAATGCTTATCCAGTCACATATTATCTCTGATTGTCTTTAGTGCTATAATCTCAGAGCTGAGTGACTGTGAAACTGATTGTATGTCCCACAGAACCTAAAATATTTACTCTCTGGCCCCTACAGAAAAAGTTTGTTGATCCCTGTCTTAGAGGGACATCCACATTCTAGTTGAGTGGAAATACCCATGTGATCATTTTATTGCTCCCTGATTTTCTCATCTATAAATTAAAGAATTTACTCGTTCCTTTAGTCAATACATATTTATTGAGAGCCCAATGCCAGACACTGTTCTAGGCACTGGGCCACAGGAATGGATCAGACAGAGACTGTCCCTACCCACATGGAACTGACATCCTAATGGCGGAAGACAGACAGTCAACAGGTAAACAAATGCTTCGGGCAGTATCAGAGTGACAGGTGTTGTATAGAGAATTGAGATGGCGTGATGTGATTCTCTGAAACACTTTACATAGGTGGGTTAGAGAGGAGCTTTTAGAAGGTGTGACATTGACAGTGAATCATATGTAGGAGCCAGTCATGCAAAAGTGAGAGAGAGGGATCCAGGCAGAAATTGACCTAGTGCATGACGGGTTGAACATGGTGCATGTGTAGGTGAGAAGAAGGCTGGGTGTGGTGGGAACCCAGGATGTGAGAAGGCAGGACATGTGAGATATGAGAGGCAGGGCCAGACCATGTAGGGCTGGGTAGGACTGGTGTTGTGGGTTGAATTGTATCCCCTGGAGAGATATGTTGATTTCTTAATCTCAGTACTTGTGAATATGACTTTATTTGGAAATAGGCACTTTGCAGTTATAATCAACCTAAGATGAGGTCATTGAGTGCTCATTTAGTGGTGTCCAACTCTTTTGTGACCCCATGGACTATAGTTCACCAAGCTCCTCTGTCCATGGGATTTCCCAGGCAAGAATACTGGAGTCGGTTGCTGTGCCCTCCTCCAGGGGATCTTCCTGACTCAGGGATTGAACCTGCGTCTCTTGCATTGGCAGGCAGATTCTTTACCACTGCACCACCTGAGAAGCCCAGAAGATAAGGTCATTAAAGTGGGCCCTAATTAAAATTGACTGTTATCCTTATAGGAGGAAAATGCATGTAAAGACAGAGACACAGGGAGAACTCACACAGTGGCAGGCAGAAATTGGAGTAAGGAAGCTGCAAGCAAAGGAATGCCAAAGACAGATGGCCACAAGCAGCAGCCACCCGGAAAGAGGCAAGGAAGGGTTCTCTCCTAGAACCTTGAGAGGAATATGGCCCTCCTGACATCTGATTTCATACTTCAGAATGTGGGGAGAGTCAGTTCTGTTCTGTTCTTTAAAAAATATTTATTTATTTATTTGGCTGCACTGAGTCTTAGTTGTGGCATACAAACTCTTTAGTTGTGGTATGTGGGGTCTAGTTCCCTAACGAGGGATCAAACCCAATGCCCTGCATAGAGAGCATGGAGAATAGCCACTGGACCACCAAGAAAGTCCCAATTTCTGTTCTTTTAATCTGTCTAGTTTGAGGTACTTTGTTAAGGCAGCCCAAGGATACTACTACAACTGGTAAAAATAATTGGGACGCTTATTCTAGGTGTAGGAGGCACCCCTGTGACTGTAAGCTAGCAGGGATCTTGTATCATTTAGATTACACATAGAGAATGGATGTGTCTGGTCACAAAGAAAACTGGTAACATAAAAAACAGAAGCCAGTCAGAGGTACCAGATGTTAGTGGTCAGTGTTAGGGTGAAAATGTATGGTTCAGAGAATATTTTGGAGGTAGACTGCCAAGATTTGCTGCTGGATTGGAAATGGAGGATGAAGGAAAGAGAGGCTTCAAGGACTTGTCTAGATTTTTGGATGGTTTCTAAGGTTCCCAGCACCTCTCAAGGCTTGTGGAATTTGCAAACACAGTGTTTTTGGGTCTGGATAAATTGCTGAATGACCCGGAATGAAAGTGGGTGTATCAAAAAATGTCACCCAATTTGGCCCAGTTCTTATTGGTTCCTGGCGGGTGCCAACAGACCTCCCTCACTCCAGCTGCCAAACAGTAATAATTCCTTTGGGACTACCCTGGCGGTCCAGTGGTTAATACTGTGCTCCCACAGCACAGGGCACAAGTTTGATCCCTGGTTGGGGAACTAAGATACTGCATGTTGCGTGATGTGACCAAAAATAATAATAATTCCTTCATATCAGTCTGTCAATAAATGTCTTTTTTTTTTTTTTTAATTTTTGGACACACCGTGAGGTATGCAAGATCTTCTTAGTTCCTTGACCAGGGCTTAAACACACACCCCCTCAGTGTGTGGTGTCTAAACCACTGGACCATCAGAGAAGTCCCTAAATGTCTTTGCCTTTGACCTCAGAGGAGTGAGGTGACATTACAACTTTGGGTTTTTATTTTATCATCACTGTCTCTGATTTATGATGATTTTATCTGACACTAACTTATTAATCTTTAGCTAAGTTTATTGGAGGATGGATTAGTTTCATTATTGCCCTGAGGGAGATAAATGCAAGGTCTTCTTGTGATGAACTTGAACTTACATTTTTTAAAAAAGTCACTAAACTCAAATGGTGCTTCGAGCACGCTGAGTTACTGTGGTGTGATTGTGTTATGGAAACTTCATTTGGAAACATATGGTGTCCCTGACTGGTTCTTGAAAACAGGACATAGGTTGTCTTAGTCAGTTTGGGCTGCTCTAACAGTAGCATAGATTGGGTCGTTTAAAGAACAAACCTTTCTTCCTCACAGTTCTGGAGGTTGGAAAGTCCAAGATCAAGGTGCTGGCAGATGCGGTGTCTAGTGAGGGCCTGCTGTCTGATTGGTAAATGAGTATCTTCTCTCCTTGGTAGAGAACAAGGATGGAGGAAGCAAGCTCTGGGGGCCTCTCCTTATGAGGGCACCAGTCCCCTTCATGAGAGCTCTGCTCTCAGGACCTAACCTCCTCCCAAAAGCCCCACCTCCAAATGCCATCACACTGGGCACAGACTTCAGCATATGAATTTGGAGGGAAACAAGCATTCAGCCCACAGCACAGATATCCTCTGGTTTCACTTATACCGAAAGGAACCCTTTGGATCGTCAGGCTGTGTTCCCATTTCGGAGAGACCCTGAGCTAACACCATATCCCTCCAGACACCAGGGAGCCCCTTCCTGCTCCTCAGACAGTGGCTGAAGGGGAGGCCTTGGCATCTCAGATTGGAACTCAGCCCTCATTTCTGCATGGGAGTTTCAGAAAGTGGATTAAGCTTGACCCCACTGTTACTTCTGGAGGGTGGTGGTGGTGCTGAATGCCTGAGAGCACACTCTCTGAGGCCTAGTTGCCCAGGTTCAAATGCAGGTCCTGCTGGCTGTTGTCTTTATGACCTTGGGGAAGTCACTTGAACTCCTCCACTCTTAGTTATCATTTGTGAATTCAGGAGTAACGGTACAAGCTAGGCAGAGATTCCCTGCTCACATTCATGAGATAAACACGTACAGCCTTCAGCATAGAGTTGGGCACACAGTATATATGCACTTGGTTCTTGTTAGCTCTGTCAGCTGGTTAAGCAGGTGACAGAATTCTTGTGGGAAAAAAATGCATCTTAAATTCCCAACAATCAGTACATCTGAGCTTTTCCAACAAGATTTGCAATGTGTCAGGGACTCTGTGGGCCCAGATTTTCCTTTTCCCATCTTTCTATTGATGTGGTTGATAACTTAGTCTCTTAAGGAGAAAAGTTTGGAAACATTCTAACATGGCCTTGGAAACTAGGGGGAGAATTCTGAGATGTGACAAGTTGTTATCTGTAAGTGACTTTGGTTTTATTTTGTTATTTAAAAAATTTTTTTCTTCCAGCTTTATTGAGGTATAATTGACTTTGTGCTGTATAGCACAATGATTTTACTTATACACATCATGAAATTAGGACCACAATAAGTTTAGTGAACATATGTCATCTCATATAAATATAAAATTAAATAGAAAAAA